TTTTAACCATGCTTGGAGTTGCTCTTGTAGAAACTTGCTACAGTTTGGTCTCCTTTTATTTCCTCAGTAACCGAGCAAGAACCAACCAATTCTTTAGGTCTCATCTACTTAATATGACTGTTCCATTAAGGGATATTRTGTAATAATTCTTGGGCCAAGCTACATTTCAATTTGGGAGCTGAAATCCTAAACCTGCTACTCAGTTAAATATATGAAATTTAGTTAAGTATAGTTAATTACATAATGTCTCCTGGTTTGAATGCCCCCCCCCCCCCCCCCCAATATCTGGATTTATCAGGCAACAGTCAATACAAGCAACAGAGGGCTGTTCTCCTGTTGATCAGGGCACAGCATTTCTGGTGCAACAATCAGAACGAGGATCCCTTTCACAATCCTTCCTTCCCTGCATCAGAGGTCACTGGCAGAGTGGAACTCTCCATATGTGTCCCATGACTGACTGCTTTTTCGTTCAATTGATTGTTCTGTTCCTGTCATATGAATTTTAAAAGTTGCTTTGTGATGGATTTAAAGGCACATTTTTTCAACCTACATTTCATCATGTAATAGAGTTTTTTTAGAAAGGCATTTTCTAGTCTTAATTGGTTCATGAGTGCGTTACATTTTTTGCTATTAGTTAATCTTAACCGTGTAATGTCCTAATTATTCAAAGAGAGAATTATGATATTTTTGGTTTAAAGTGGTAATCTTAACCTGCTGTTGAAAGAATGTCCCAGCTAAGCTGTTCTGGTTCCTCACATTAGTGACAGTATTAAAGGGATATTCCTAGCTTTGTATGTACATCTTTTATTAACTTTCTCAGAGGTCTTATCTGGCGACATACTTTATGTTTACAGTTGGATTTTGCCTTGTGCAGAGTAAAGATATTAGACTTCTGTCAAGATAAGGATTGTATGACTCCATTGTTATCAGCAAATTCTTAGAAAGAATGTTCTAGTAGAGTTTTAATGATGATAGGCAGCTGTGCCACTGAGAATATATACATGACACACTGCCTGCATTGACTAGACCAGTCCCTCTTGAAGTCACGTTCAGCTGAGTTTGGTTTAGCAACATTGAGCTTTCCATTATGACATTAATGTCATGTTACAGTATTAATAATTGAGATTATCACATGATAATGTGAAGCTTACAGCACAAAGTGACTCGCTGAAAATTAAGGATAGGTCATATGATAATTTCCAGCTTTTTTTCTCCATAATCTCTTTCTTCGTATCTGTTGTCCACAACTAGTGGAGAGAAAGCATGGTCCTCCAGGAGTTGCTGTATCATAACTCCAGCCTTCCCTTTTGGATATGGTGGGGCAGAGGAAAGCTGGAATCCAAATATTGAAACTAGGGAAATTTGGGCCTCTAAAGCCACCAGGAAATTCAAAAGATGGCTGAGATAGAGATACTTTTGCTTTCAAAGGGTCCAAAGGACCCAGACTTTACGTCATACACACATTTAAAACATTGCTTTAAATTACCTTTATATGTCCAGGTTGTATATTAAATACAAAGACATTTCGTATTTAAACCTGAGTGCCATCCTCAATCAATATATTTTATTACGACTGTATATAGAAATACAGGTATTCCAATTTTTAAAAAAGAAATCCAAAATAAGTCTGATCCCAAGCTGTTTGGATACGGGCTCCTCAACGTGTACAAAGAGGCAGCTGATTTGAAAGGGGTTGTAAGGAGGGACAGGGAAGACCAAAACTGGGAGCTTGGCTTCAATTGTTCCAGATATTAGGGGTTGGTCTTCAGTGTCTGAGATTCTAACCACAAACTAATGAAAAGTTAGAACAAACTTCTCTAGACACATTAAAAGAGCAACCTTAAGAGAACAGAACATAGCACTAAGTAAACATAACTTTTCAAGAAGTGTTATGTTCTTCCTGAGGGCAGATCTGGTATTAAGTGACTTGTGACTTTTGCAGGAAAGAAGATCTTGGAAAGGTCCATGTGGCTGTGGTCCAGACCTTGGCTTTGGTAAGAACAGCATTTGGGGCCACCAGGAATAGGTATTCTTGGGAGCAATGTTCTCTGCCAAACCCCTGGCTTTCATAGCAAAAATCCCAGCAGTGATTCAATACAAATAAGGCATTTCACCAAGCAGCAACCTAGGACACTGGATTCATGAGAATGTATGAAAAACTGGGTACATATACCTGTCTCCTTTAACAGTATAACAAATATCCTAAAAGTGATGATCAGAAAACCCTTGCCAACTGATAATACGCATATAGAATCGTAGAACTGTTAGTGACGGAATAGTATTGAAGGTCATCTAGTCCAATTCTCTGCCAATAGAAGATCCCACAGTTGAAGCATACCTGAAGGTGGCCATTCAGCCATAGGATAAAAACGCCTGGTGAAGAAGAGTCCATTGATTATTGAGGCAGTCCACTACTGAAGAGCATTTTATTTATTTCAGTTGTTTTATTATTTGTAAAATTCTTGGAAATGAACTAAAAACTCTTTTAAAAAAAGCCAGTTCTAAAAGCAAATGTCAACAAATGTTTAATAATATCTTTCAGTAAATTCCCAGCCAACAAAACACAGGAATGCACTGGTTTAGTGGGGAATTGTTTGGGAGTGTTGGATTCAAGCACTCTGATTGGCTTAATGTTAATAACAGCAACAACAGCAATAACAACAATTATTTGTTACCTTCCTCTTCTCATGGCTCTAAGGCAATGTACAACATAATTAAAACATAGAGATAAATATGATACATTAAAATACATATATTAAAATACACAGAGCAAAGGTTTAGTGACCCACAGACATGGGAACATTTCTTGGACTATGATCATACCATGATGTGTTGTCTGTAGTCCATCAAATTATACAGTCAGTCACTCTAGAAAAGACTAACACGGAAGTCTTCTAAATTCTAAAGTATTAAAGCCACAAGCCTCACTTTATGAACTGTTTAGGAATGCTCTGGGTTTCTCATACCATACAGCACCCATCGAGAATATGTATGTTGTCTTCTCTCTCAGAACAGATAACTCTCGACACCCAGTGGCTGATGAGATTAACTGCAGAAGCCAACTTGTCCAGCAATCCTTTTAAAGCCACTTTAAGACATTGGGAATTTCAATTGTTATTGTTTGCAAGCCTGGCTTAGAATCACACCTTTTCCTCATTAGCCTTTTGCAGTCAGCTCTTTCTGGATTCTTGTTTGCAGCATTGTTACTCCTGTGTTTCCATTCTGAATTATAACAGAGGCTCCATCGACAAAGACCTTTTAATGCAGTTCAAAGCTGGCTTCAAACTACAGACAACAGACAGCAAACTCCTACAAAAGCATGTGAAAGAAAGCTTTTAGTGCACATCAGTGCTCTCTCTCTGTGGTTTATGTCATCACCATCAGAGCCTCAAACTGATTTCCCATGTAATCAATCATCTACAGAGCAAAACCACTTTCTTCAATACCCATTTGGAACTGCATTGAATGGTCTGTAGATGGCTCAAAGACAATGTAATTTGTACTAGCACAGGGCCTAGGAGGACTCTGGCCTATTGGAAAAACACTTATTCCATAATTTCAGATGAGGGAAGATTTCAACATAGCTCTCTATGGGGAGGACCAGGGCGGCTTGCGTGTGTGCAGAATCATAGAATCAGTGAGTTGAAAGAGTCTTTGTGGGCCATCCAGTCCAACCGCTGCCAAGAAGCTGGAGAATCACCTTCAAAGCACTCCTGACAGATGGCCATCCAACCTTTGTTTAAAAGCCTCCAAAGAAGGAGCCTCCACCACACTCCAGGGCAGAGTTCCACTTCTGAATAGCTCTCACAGTTAAGGAAATTCTTCCTCATGTTCGGGTGGGATCCCCTTTCTTGTAGTTTGAAGCCATTGTTCTGCATCCTAGTCTCCGAGGCAGCAGAAAACAAGCTTGCTCCCTCCTCCCTATGACTTCCCCGCACATATTTATAAATGGCCATCATGTTTCCTCTCATCCATCTCTTCTGCAGGCTAAACATGCCCAGCTCTTCAAGCCACTCCTCATAAGGCTTGTTATCCAGACATTCAATCATTTTAGTCGTTCTCCTCTGAACACATTTCAGGTTGACATCTCCCTTCAATTGCAATGCCCAAAATTGCCATGGGGTTTGTTTTTTTTTTTTGAGAAGGCACCTAAGAAGACAAAGCACCTCTTGTAGCTCCGAAGAGGACAAAGCTGGGAGCACTGGCCTTCTCAGCCAACTCTGTTTCCTCAAATGTTACTTTTCATTGCTGTGCTTCATACATAGGTTGAAATCAAAGTTTAGTAGCCTCAGAGAGAGGCCCTGTCCTGTTCGAAGCCAATCCTGGATTGAGTTTGTGGAGGCACACATTCATTTTTGTCTTTCCAAGTAACTTGAGTGTGCACCTATACTGTAAAATTAACGCAGTTTGGCACCACTTTAACGGCCATGCCTCAATTAAATGGGAGTTGTAGTTTTTACACGGTCTTTAGCCTTCTCTCTTCCAAAGGGCTTCTCCTTCACCAAACTACAACTCCCAGGGCTCCACAGCACTGAGCCAGGGAGGTGACAGCGAGACCAAACCGCATCAAGCTTTGAGAGAACCATGTTCCAAAGAGATTGGTGTCCAACAATGCCTTTAAATGCGCCCATTTTGGCCTCCCAGTACAGCCTCCAGCCTCATAGAATCATAGAGTTGGAAGGGACCTCGTGGGCCATCCTGTCCAACCTCCTCCCTTTCGAGTTCCCGCCCTTGCATCCCCCGGGAAAAAAAAAATGAAACCCCTTCTCTCATTCGTTGGAGGGCAGCAGAGAACAAGAAATACTATTGGCTGCTAGGGTTATAAGTCCCGCCTTCCAACAAAGCGGAAACAGAAAGACGGGAGGGAGCGTATGTGCTTCTTAATCCGGAAGCGGAAGTGCCTTTGGCCACGCAAAGTTTGTTCGTTTGCTTTGGCCTCCATTTTTTTTCTCCCTGAGAGGCGCTTGGCGGGCAGCTTGAAGGCCGCGGAGAGTTTGCCGTTGTTGTTGCCGCCTCCGCCGTTGCCATGACGGACCGCTACACCATCCACAGCCAGCTGGAGCACCTGCAGTCCAAGTACATCGGGACGGGCCACGCGGACACGACCAAGTGGGAGTGGCTGGTGAACCAGCACCGGGACTCCTACTGCTCCTACATGGGCCACTTCGACCTGCTCAACTACTTCGCCATCGCCGAGGACGAGAGCAAGGCCCGCGTCCGCTTCAACCTCATGGAGAAGATGCTGCAGCCCTGCGGGCCCCCCGCCGACAAGCCCGACGAGTCCTGAGGCCGAAGGAGGAGCGCCAGAGGGAGGGCGGGAAGTGGCGCCCTTGGCGAAGCCTCTCCGCCGTGGCTGAAGGGAGGCCTCGCACGGCCCCGATCTTCCTGGCGGGACTGGACTCTGCACGGCAGGCGCCACCTGGACTCTGAAAAACCGCCTCCCTGCACCGGGAGAAACTGGAGGCCGGCCGTTTCCCTTCGCCTCCTGCTTTCGGACACAGGCGTCGCTTGCTTTCCGGACTCGCCAGGACACCTTTCCCATCCCTCTCAACTCGGAAGCGTTTTAACCGCTACTAAATGCTACGCATGGTGTTTTCTCACTCGCTTGTTTGGATTCTTGATTTGTGCGGCGAACAGATTAAAAATGTGTTGCATCTTAGCAACTTGATACATGCCACCCGGGTTGTTTTCTAGCTTAATTCATATAGCGAACGTGACGCCAAAAATAATTCTGTGGAGTTAAATGCATAAGGTGTCTTCTCGCCTCATTGTCTGGATGGTTAATTCATGAACTGAAACGAAGTTCTGTAAAGTCAAATGCAACTGTTTTCATAACTTAATAAATGCCATGCAAGATGTTTTCTAATCCACTTATCTGGGTGGTTAATTCATATAGTACACCTGAACCAGGGGCGGCTCAACCCATTACGCAAAGTAAGCATTTGCAGTATAGTTGATTTTGCCCAGGGGCACTCTTGGGGGAAATAGACCTTGACATATGTGAGTTGTAGTTACTGGGATGTATAGTTCACCTACAATCAAAGAGCATTCTGAACTCCACCAATGATGGAATTGAACCAAATATGGCACACAGAACTCCCACGACGAACAGAAAATATATATCAGTGAGTGGTGGGGGGGGGGGGGTGTGGATACTGTTTGCTTACTGTTAAAAATTACCTAGGGCCGTCTCTGCTGAACCAAGAAATAAATCTGTAGTGTTAAACGTAGTTATTTCAGATTTTAAACATTTATATCCTGTCCTCACCACCACCGGGGGGGGGGGGGGGGATAGGACGGCTCACATCTGCAACCATTAGATACCAAGTAAACAGTAACCATAAAATCACAATTAAAACATTATTTTAAAACAACCAAGCACAATCTTTGACAGTGATCAGGCCATCGACTAACATGATAGTTGTTATGCTAGTCGCATTTCAACAATAAATGTCACTGGGTGTAGTGAAGATCAACCAAGAAATACCTCAAGTGTTAAACACCACTATTAAATTAGTTGCATTTCAACAACTTAATAAATGCCATACAAGGTGTTTTCTAGCTGTATGTATACTTAATTCATATGGCAGACATGAAGCAATATTTATTTATTGTGTCAGAAGCAAATTAAGAGAACACTCATAATGTATTTAAAGACACAAAGTTAAAAAACTTGACATACTAAGTGTCCTTCGACCAATAGCTGGCTACTTGGGAGTACCTCTGGTGTTGCTGTGAGGAGGTCCTCCATTGTGCATGTGGCAGGGCTCTGATTGCATTGTAGCAGGTGGTCTGTGGTTTGCTCTTCACATTCTCATGTTGTGGACTCCACTTTGTGGCCCTGTTTCTTAAGGTTGGCCCTGCCTCTGGTGCCAGAGTGCAGTTTGCTCAGCGTCTTCCAAGTCACCCAGTCTTTTGTGTGCCCAGGAGGGAGTCTCTCATTTGGTATCACTGGTTGAGGTTCCGGGTTTTAACCTGCCACTTTGGACTCTTGCTTGCTGAGGTATTTGCTTATTGCAAGTATCTCTGTAGATCTTAGAAAAGTATTTCTTGATTTAAGGCATTGGCATGCTGACTGATATCTGAACAGAGGATGGGCCGGAGATGTCACTACCTTTCATTGTTGCCTATTATTTCTCAGTGGATATTGCGTCGTGCAATACCGGCTAAACAGTGGATATTAGGTGGCGCAATACCAGCTAATTTATCCAGTGGTGTGGGGTGAAGACATCCTGTGAAAATGCAGCATGCCTCATTAAGAGCCACATCCACTATTTTAAAGTGGTGAGATGTGTTCCACACTGAGCATGCATATTCAGCAGCAGAATAGCAAAGCGCATGGGCAAATGTCTTCACTGTGTGTGGTTGTGATCCCCAGGGGACATGAAAGAAGCCTGCAGGACCATACACATCCGGGCATCCCCTGGGCAGTGTCTTCGTAGACGGCTGATTCTCTCACACCAGAAGCGACTTGCAGTATACAAACAAACAAACATGAAACTGTTGAATGCTGCTGGAAAATTAGTTGCACATTTGTAGATGCATGGAGAAAATTAATAATGGCTTTTACCTAAATGTATTGATGCTCAGTTTACATTAAAAGGATTAGGAGCTGGAACAAATTGTTCTCTCTTAATGCAAATATTTCTAGTTCTGGGTTCTTGCTGAATTCTTTTTTTTTAATAGAAAGCAGCATAACTGAAGTATTTATGCATAGCTACCAAAATGCCAAAAAAAATGGATACACATTTAGAGATAAACATTTAATCAGAACAAATAGAAAACTATAGTTATAATGTGTTATTCTAATTTGTACAAGATTAGTACTTAGGGAAATAGTCAATTTACTGGAATATGATCTTACTTGTTTTATTTCAATCCATCTTGTGAGATGAATGCTTGCTGGTCTCCTCTAAAAGCAATATTGTAAAAAGTAAATACTGCTTTTCAAATGCTTGCTATCATTATCTTCTGTTCTGTGATGGATCTCTAGGAGTAAAAGATTAGTTTAGGCAGACTCTGAAGTAATTCAGAAGTGTTTTTCATTGCAGCTAAATTACACATGCTAGGACTATGCAACCAAACTCAGCAGGACTTAGCTCCTGCTCAGTGGAATTTGGATTATGTTGGGTATAAGCAATGCTAGGGGAGTCCCTTTGGAAATAGTTATCTCACAAGCATTGTGATACTTTGATTACGCTTTTCCTGCGTGGCAGGGGGTTGGACCAGATGGTCCTTGTGGACTCTCCCAACTCTATGATTCTATGAAGCAAAAACTACAGTATTGGGCATTTGGAAATATTTGTGTCATGTAGGGTTTGGGTGTGCAAAATTGAATGCATCAAAAAAAACCCATACAGAATAGGATAGAAGCAATATTGCATCTCCAAGAGCAAGTATGTCATTGTAGCAACTATGCTACAACTTTATATGCTGAATATTTTAAATATGCTGGTTCTTTAGTCAATAAAGCTTGAATCAATAAGATATTCTATGGTCACATTTCAGCAGAGGCTTGATCAGTAGTACTGAACTTGGAGTTAGATTGTAGCTTTGATATCTATCCAGTTAATTTTCCTTACCCAGATTATTTTCCAGAGGGACCAGCAGGTGCTTTCTTCTGTGCTGCTCTGTTGGACGTTTCAGCAGCATGTCCTAACAATAACAATTTTGTGAAGATGTTTGGAAATATATAGGCTTGATCAAGCCACACCAAAATGTCAAGATCATGGCAAAACTTTCATAAAATTCAACTTGATTTTCAACTATGTCCCCGTAGTTTAACTCTGACATAACCAATTTGTTTCTTAAATGCTTTCCTTTCTTTGTGGCTGCACTATCTGCAGTCTTTCTCCTTCAGCTACCACTCTACCAGTGTAGTCAAACAGTGCAATGAACCAATAGACTCTTTTGTGTCCCTAAGTATATATGAACATTGTTTTACTACATAATGCTTCTTACCTGTTACTTGTTGACTTGGATTGTTGCTTTCCTGTGTCTTGTTTTGAAGCAGTGTTCCTACAGCACTTGTTAAAGTTGGGTCTTTTTTGGGAGCTGCTTGTTTACCCTAAAGGAGAAAACCATCTATTTAGCATCGGTTTGTAATTGCATCCCAAGTTTTCCTGACTTTCCCTACGTGAGTGTGCTGTGAATGCGCACTAATGGTACTTCTGCGCATGCGCAGCATCGCTCCGGAATCTTCAGTTAGGATTTAAAAAGAATCGGCGGTTGGCCCCGCGCACACTCCCCAGTACATTATAAATAGCCCGCGGCTGGTCAACCGCCTCCAGATCTCTTCATCCACGCTAAAGTCAGCAAGCTCGGATCTTTTCTATCTCAGTTCGATTATTTTATTATTATTTTATGATTGTGTGTCTCTGCTAAATAGACTATAAGCTGGGGTTTTCCTGGCAAAAGGTTTGTTCACAGAAAGTTTGCCTTTGCTTTTATTTGATGCCGAGGAGTATGACTTCTTCAAGGTCACCCGTGTTTTTCCATGCCAAATGGGGATTTGACCTCTGGTCTCTTATGTCCCAGTCCAACACTCAGTCTCCACTACAGCTGCTTTAACAAATGTAATACTGCTGTGTTGAAGGAATTCAAGGAGATGTATGTCACTGGCCATGAGCTTAGGAATACAATAAGCATTGAATTTACAGACGTTATTTACTCTAGGGGGATGTGAAGATGGAATACCATACTTGTCCGTTTCCTTTATCCAAAATGCTTTGGACTGCATATGTCTTAGTTGTTATCAAACTCAATTATACATCACCCCTTAGGCCCAGAAGAACTAACTGTTAGGAACAACTTTTAATATAAGAGATGCCATTTTATATCATGGAACTTGAGCATTTATGAATACTGATATTGTGGAGGGTGGTGGTGGGGGATCCTGAAACCAAATCCCAACAGATATCAAGGCTCCCTATATTTACATCTGGTTTGAATGAACTATGCTTAGGAATGGGAAAGTAAAACATTGAGAAATGACCTTCAGTAAGAGTGATATTTTCATGTTACTCTGTCCAACATCCCATCAGTGCTGTTGAGATCATGAGAGAATGATGGGATAAACAAAAAATAACTTGGATAAAACACTTACTGGGGGCGCCTTGGTTCCTTTCTGAGCTGGAGCGAAAGCACGCCTCGCAGCTTGTTCTTTGCAGAAATTTATATGCCTTTCTGCTGCAGCCTCATTAAATCTTCTCATGCAGTAAGGGCACTGGATATAATCTGAATATAATACAGAAAACATCATTATTAAATCAAGAGCTTATGATACGTGAGAGATAATGGCTTAAATCCAGTTATCAGTTCCAACAAGAATAGTTCCACTGAATCAATGAAACTTACATACTGTATTTTCTGGCATATAAAACTACTTTTTAACCCAGGAAAATCTTCTCAAAAGTGGGGTTGCCTTATATGCCGGGTGTCGTCTCATAGAGCAGGTGCTGAAACTTCCGAGCCGGACTGGAGAACCTGCGGACATCACATATGGTGGGGGGAGCTCAAAAATGGCTATGGCCGCATCCCTGTCATATGCGGTGACCGTATGAAAGAAGCAAAGGCAGCGCTGTACAAGTATGGTAGAAGTAAATCCACTCACAAGGATTCATGGAAAGAAGTGACAATGTGGTCCCAATGATGAAGTGAAGTAGCGCCTCACCAGAAAGGTGTAAGTAAAGCGTGGAACAAGCTGCAGGCGTCCAGGACGCCTGGGGTCTAAAAAAGAGATAGAGTGGCACTGTGTCCAGAAAAACGCCTCTTTCATCCATCTGGTCCACCCTTGTATCCTATTACCGTACCTCCTTCCCTGCCTCTCAGATCTTGCGCCTGAGGACTGCAGTGCACATGTGTGAGAGCTGAGAGGCAGAGAAGGAGGCACAGTAATAGGAAAATTACCATTTTGAAATCAAATCTGATGTTTTTAATTTTTTTATTTGGCATGTGTTGGAAGAGGGGTAGCCTTATACGGCGAGTACATCCAAAACTCTATATTAACTGGAAAAGTTGGGGTTCGTCTTATACGCCAGAAAATATGGTATATATTATCTTACCAAGTTTGCACTGACTCAGTGGGTGGGTCTATTCTGGCCACAGTGATATATTCCTTGGTTACATCCCGGTTGGACTCCTGCAATGTGCTCTACTTCAGGCTGCCTTTGAAAGATGTTCAGAAACTTCAGTTGGTCCAAAGAGCAGCAGCCAGACCGCTAACGGGCTGGCTACAGGGAGCGGACAACTCCTCTGTTGCAACAGCTCCAGTGGCAGTTGACACATTTCCAGGCACAATTCAAAGTGCTGGTTTTGACCTACAAAGCCCTATACAGCTCCAGTCCAGGTTATCTGAAAGATCATATCTATGAACCTAGTAGACATCTATGATCTACTAGGGAGGACAGTCTCTCTGCCCCACCACCCACTCAAACATGTTTTGTGGGAACACAGGAGAGGGCCTTTTTGGTGGCTGCTCCTAGACTGTGGAACTCCCTCCCAAGGGAGACCAGGATCACCCCATCTCTGCTGGTCTTCCACAAGCAGGCCAAGACTTTCCTCTGCTAGCAGGCATTTAGGTTAGAATAAAAAGCAGGCTGCTAGGTAAATGTGGGTGGGATTTGAGGTGAAGGCTGTGACCTTTAAAGCCTATTTTAAGAGTATTTGTTATATTTTAACTATTTTTTTTAGATTAATACACAGTACTATTTAATTGTTTTTCAATGTATTACATTTGTTTTAAACTGACCAAAGTATGTGATTTTTGGCTGCCTTGAGTCCCCTCATAGAGAAAGACGGTATAAAATAAATAAATAAATAAATAAATAAATAAATAAATAAATAAAATATTCAAATTGGGACTGACAATTGCATTTCAACCAATACTAGCACTATTGAAAAGTAATGCATCTCTTTGCTATTTTAACCTAGGGAAAGAATTACACAGCACATTTCAGCAGAGTTAAATACTTAAAATTTAGAACAGGGGTGATTAGTGCACTATAAGACCCATTATAAACCAAGAAAACACTCTTAACAGCAAACATTTAAAGCAGTAGTGCACACCTTCCCTTTGTAACCAAGGCAGTATCTTTGTACTCCAGGAGTGTTGAGTGTTCCTTTTTTCTGAGCAATGCACTTCTAGTCTGACACGCCCGCCCCCTCCCAGACTCCAGTCACTCATTGGCTGGGACAATTCATCCTAATGCCCTCAAACCGAGGTTGTTGTTCATTTAAACAGGATTTTTTTCTGGATGGGATTTAAACAGGATTTTGTACTGGATGGGATTTTTGCTTTGGCTTCAATTTAACTAGAATCTTGTTCTGAATGAGATATATCCTTTATTTCTTGTTTGCCTTCACACAGTGCTAGCAGTCCCAGATTACTATAATTCCCATAATGCGGGAAGAAGAGTGAGACTGAGTGCAACTCTTGTTTTCAGACGCTTGGGCAAGACTACTCAGGAACCATGGTTAAGCCAGGATGCTGTATTCTCCCATGTGGCTGCCACTGGATCTTTTTTAGTTATGTTTAGGACAAGACATTCTGTTTCTAAATCAAGATGCAGACTTTCAGTATATTACCTGGATTAATGGTAGGTGGAGGAGGGGGAGGCAGGGGGCGGCCTTCTCTCATAGCTATAGTGGCAAGTTTAGCTGCTTGGATAGTTGCAATGAAGTCCTCATGCTGTTGTCTCCAATTAGATTTTTTTTCAGGCTGGCGCTGAAACAAGAAATATTTCAATCTACAGCAGATCAATTACTTAATCATAGTTAAAGATGTCATTCTACATTAATTTGAAAGAAAATTTAAAGATATATTGAACTGACACTTATAAAAATATAATAAGACATGGATAATGATCCAAGCAAGTAGGAGAACTGGAGGACAGGTGTGTGTGATAGAGTCTGGATGGATAAAAGCAAAGAGATCAATTCCCCTTGTTCTTGTAATACTGGAAGAATGTGATGTGTGTCAAGAACCTACTGTAAATGAATGCACATGTCTGTTTCTTAAAATTACCTTTGCAGGTTGTTTCTTTACTGTTGGAATCTCAGTTCCCTGAAGTCGTTGTTTCAAGGAATTGAATGGTTTGCGCTTTTTGTTGAAGAGTTTCTTGCATATTGGCCCATGTCTTGCCTAAGATATAAATAAGAAAATTGATAGTTATAGAATATACAGAAGATAGCTCCCATTTATCAGTAGTGATATTTCAAAACTTTCGATGTACAGTACTTGAAAGCACTGATAAGTATTACTGGCCATGGAATACCTGCATATTGCTAGTTTTACTTAAAAACCTTATACAGAAGATAGCTATCAACGAAAGCTTATGTTTTAAATGAATACATGGTTTTTTTAATTTTATTGGTGCTTAAAGCTGGGATCCTACACCCCTTTATTTTGGTATAATCCCATAGAACTCATTAGGGCATGCCTCTAAATAGGCAGACACGGGTTGCTTTTTTTGAGTATTTGAGAAATTATCTTAACATTCTATGTCACTTAAATACATTCAACATTTTCTTATTTTACCAATGCATCTGGTGTGAAATGTCTTCCACAGATATCACAATTAATCATATTCTGGCTGCCAGCATCTGTGTGAAATCAAGAATATTATTATTCATCCAGTTGTTATTGATTTCCATTAACTACAAATCTAATTTTGAGAATGTACAAAACTTATAATTTATAAAATGGTATATTAATATCTTATTTAGAGGGTGGGGGGAATGGGGAGAGGGTGGGGGTAATGTGTGATACATAACTAAGGAATGTATAAAATGTCATTTAAGAAATAATTACTTTTGGAATGATGTATACTGAAATAAGTCCTGTATGACAAAAGTTTAATTGTTGGGATGTATCAAATAAAATTTATAATTATTTAAAAAATAGAGGGATGAACATATCAATGGTGCATTTAAATTTATAAACACATACTGATATATATACCTAAAAAGGCAGGAATGGTGACTTCCAAGTAGTAGACTACAGTACATATCTGTCAATCCATTTTGTTGAAAAATGATACTGAGTTATGTTTATTAGAATTAAATAATGTTGCTAATGAAATGTTACCTAATTCCATTCATTTGTCTAGACTAGATTCATATAGCAATCTTATGCATATTTATTTGGAAGCAGGTCACTGTGTTGATTAGAGTATATTTCTGGGCATGTGCAGCGGGTCGCAGGTTCGGATTGTATACAGTGCATTATTTCTTAGAAAACTAAGAAATCCCTTAAATGTATGGTTTTGTTATCTTGCCTAGTCATCATCCTGCCTTTAATACACTTGCATCAAAATAAAATATGGACAGTTTATGGTCTTCTGGATGTTGCTAGACAGCAATTACAGACCATGATTTAGAGCTGGCTGGAATCTGCAAGCATTCAGACGTTGAACTGTAGCTTCTGTGGTGCCACCATTTGTTTTATTAGTAGGGAATTTGAGGGCCAATAAATTGAGAGCCATAAGATGTCCTCCCTTACTCAGAGAAATATCCTAAATATGTCAAGATAGCTATTGAGAAGACAGATTAATTCCTTGCATCATATAATAGAGTGTATTTCCAGAATGTTACTTTGGGAGTAAAATTGATTATTTTCAGCATAGCTATTTTTTCTAGCAAACAAAAGTGGGCATTATTGGCTGTATACTCATTTGGCCATGGAGGGATAGTTCAGGCAATATTTCCAATATCCAAACCACAATTTCAAAATTAAAAGCAGTTGAGTCTCTCCCTTACAACTTGAATCAATGAGACCATCCAACATGGTATAAGCAAGGCTTAATCAAATGCTGTTTTCCTTTTCCTCCTCCCCTTTTATTCACCCCTATATTCTCGAATGTTCAACTAAGGTTTAAGGAAGAGCGAAAAAAACCTAGAGTGAGAAATATACCTATACAGGCAGACCCTGAGTTGCAATTATCTGACTTACAAATGACTCATAGTAAGAATGGGGGTGAGACAACCGGAAGTGAGAGAAATCTGCCCCTCAGAAGGGAAATTCACTCCTGGAAGAGTTATCATGGGAAAAAAGATGTCTCTGCTGAAGTTGTATCACCAATCCTTGTTTCCACAAGAAGCCATTTTTTTTCAAAATCCAATTATTACAGAGACAGGTGGGGTGAAATCTTCTGAACAGGGGCACAGATAGCAAAACAAATACCACAGGAGGTTTGAGTTACATTTTAAAACTGTACCTGTTCCAACTTACAAATTCAGCTTAAGAACAAACATACAGAACCTATCTTGTTCATAACTGTAGTCGAAAACATATGTTGTGAATATTACATACCCATGGCACTTGCTTTGTTCCAGCAACCAAACTGATCTCATAGTATACTGATTTCCAATTCCTTTTTTTTAATTTCAGGGAGACTAAAGCACCTGATGTTTACTTTCAGTTGTCCTGCTCCAATAGCCTTGGTTAAATGTCATTGGCTGGCAGATTAAACAATTGTGACACACGTAACCCCCTCCATCATTTAGTGATGTACATGAAAGTCTGCTTGTTTTTTAGACAAAGACTAATGAGTCCCTTTAACACTTGGCAATGCAAGGTAAACCACTTCTATTTGTCTTGGTTAGAGGCCAAATATTTATTATTTATTTATTTATTTACGGCGCTTATATGCCGCCCTTCTCACCCCGAAGGGGACTCATAATAATAATAACAGAAGTAAGAAGTTGCTACAGGAATAAATATAATAGGAACCACAACATAGGTAGCTATTAATGTAAGAAAAGATGAGGCAAAAGAAGATGCGACTGGTAAGCCATGATCCCTGATAAGATCTTTGTTGGGCTGTTTTAATTGTTTGATTGTTTTAGTAATAGCTATTAAGCCACCCTCAATTTTTTTGGTGGATACTAAAATATTTGTTTAAAAATCACGCTCATTTGGCTTGCTGCTACTGAAAACAGTACTGAGTTATATGGCACGCTTCATTTCATACTTTCCCAATCAACTCATATGAAATCTGCCAAATCATAACAAACATGAACCTCTAATTATTAAATACTATATCATGTTTTTATATAAAACATTTTTAAGGCTTACACCTCTGTCTTCTGAGCTATTTATTTCAAACATCACTCACAGAAACAGCAAAATAGAAGTATAACTTCAGTTTAAAATGTGTAACAAATTGAAGTCATCGCAAAGGGGGATTTTATTTTTATTTAAAGTAATGAACATTTTCCCAATTCAGGAAAAGTTAATAAATAGCTGCCATAATTTGTATGCAAGAAAAATATAATTTTATTTTAGTGGCAACCTAAAGGAGTTTATATTTTAGCAAACATCAATGACTAAATCTGAATTTTGAAAACCAAATGTCCATGGTGCCCTTTTTATATGTAGAGACAGGAATTCAGTATCTTTCATACAAAACAATTCATCTTCTGTTATGACAACTTGAGTCCTTGAATATTCCGCTTCAGGTTCAACTGTTCTTTTTCTTGCCTTGTCTTTTCTTGCTTGAAGGCCAACTTGTTGGCTTTCTTCTCCTCCCTGCGTTCCTGTAAAATTGATTTGCATATTTATTTACTTATATTGAAATTCATCGGGTTGACACAAATCTACAGACAACTTGAAGGTGCATACATTTATGCACATTAAAAAAAGAGCAAAGGCTAATCTCCACTAGCACAGCTCTACTGGATGAATCACTGAAAGGTACATCTCATTTATTCACTGTGTTTATTTTAGTTGGGACTAGCATCTGTATTTAAACCAAAAAATTCAATGTAAGTCTGTAAGACAGAAAAAATCATGGAATCTATTATACTTATGAGCACCAGCATTTATGCATTGGACTATGACTCTGGAAACCGGGGTTCAAATGCCAATTTAGTCACAGAAACCCACTGGGTGGCCTTGAGCAATTCATGTTTTCTCAGCCTCAGAGGAAGGCAAAGGCAAACTTCTAAACAAATTCTATCAGGAAAACTAATATTTTGAAGACACATAATAACATTACATTTATCTTTAGGAAATGCTGTAATTAGTTGTGTTATGCCTTAAATACAACTGATCTCTGTCTTCATCAAAGTTAAATAAGTCTGTAATGAAATAAAAAGTACATTTGGTACATTACCTTTCGTTCTTCCTTGATTGCTTGTTTTCTGGCTTTCCGGTCTTCTTTGCTCTCATTTTTAGACCGTGGTTGTGTGGATACTCTTGGCAGGTCACAGTCATTAATCATTTGCATACGCTCAACTTGCTTGGCTGTAAGTCCCCTTTGTGGCAAAACAGCTAGAGGAATTCCTGTCTTATTAGACACTTTGACTGGTTTGGGCTAAAAAAACATACATACAAGAACTAATAAACCAACTTTGAAAAAACACTACAAACACATTCTCGGTATTCATAGGGGATATATCCCAAGACTTCCCATAGAAACCTAAAGCTGTAGATAATAGCAGACTATATTTTTATAGAGAGGCCCATGAACACTTCCAGTGCAGAATACTGAGGGGAACGTGGGAATTTTAAGTATTTCACCCCTCCTCCTTTTTAAAAATGTGTGATCTGGACATGAGTAACAGCTTCTGGGAGACACTTTAAAGAAAGTTCTGCACTTTGAACTCCTCTTTAAACATTTTCTTTAGAAATATTTTAAAATTCTCTATGCAACCTTTAGTTTGACGTATCCTATGCCCTTTCAAGAGTAATTTATGACACTGTGTAACATCTAGTGATTGATTTTATTTAGGTTAAGAATCTCAGTAACCAAATAAATCAGATTTTTTTTTGTTCTGATGTACTATTCATCAATATTCCTTAAATCAAGATTATATGAAATACAAACTCCCATTTGAGCCAGCCTGGGATGGTGGATTGGAACTCTGGGAGACCAGGGTTCAAATTACTGCTAAGCCGCAGAAATCGCTTCTCTCGCTTTCACCTCTGTCACAGGCATGGTAGGTGGGGACAAGAGAAAGGGCCTTCTCGGTCGTGCCCCCCCCCCGGCTCTGGAGCTCCCTCCCCAGGGAGATTAGGCTAGCTCCCTCCCTATCCATTTTTCGCAAAGATCTAAAGACGTGGATGTTCCGCTGTGCATTTGACTAGACAATTCCCATGACAGCTGGCCCCAGCTAGGACCCAAAATCTTGTACGCATACTTTACTACTGTTGTATCCAAAGTTAGAATGACCATTTTTATATTGCTCTTATCCTTAATGCTGCTTTATGATCTATGCACTTTACTCACTTGTCTTATCCTCAGAATTGTTGTGCACCAGTCTGCCCACCATATTGAGACTTAAATTATGCTATTGTTTGTTGGTTTTGATGCTTGTTTTATATATTGTTATAATGTTATTTTTATATTGTAATAAATTGATGTTATGCATTTTAACATGTTATGTTTAACTCTGTTGATTGAGCTTGGCCCCATGTAAGCTGCCCTGAGCCCCTTTGGCAAGATGGAGGCAGGGTATAATAAAGTTATTATTATTAAATCAAAACTTCAGCCTTAGAAAAAAATAACAGAAAACCCTCTCTGAAGAAAACTTTCAAGAAAACCAGCGAGGCAGTTACTATTAGTCACAGGCATATAACTACAACAAAACCATATTTACCTTCTGTGGAACGTCAATAACTTTTGGATGATTGTACAAATTTGAATAGGTACCTTAAAAAGGAAAAAGAAACAAGGCTGACCAATTGAGGAATTTATGTTACCACATCAAGTTACATTTTTAAAAATCTGAAATCATATATTAATAATCTTTCATCTTAGGCCCCATTCACACAACATATTTATAGCACTACTGTTCCATTTTTACTGCCACTACTCTTTCATATGGAATGCTGGGATTAGCAGTTTAGAGAGGTTTAGTGCCTGACCAAACTGCAAGCCTCGGGACTACATAACATGCTTTTATGGCAATTAAAGTTGTCTCTTGGTGTTATAATAGTGTAGTGTGAATTAATTATTAGTTAACCCTTTTGTGAATAATTAAGGTGTGTATTATGCACACACACATAAAAGAACAGTGGCCTGAAGAAAAACCACTTGGTTTGAATAAAAGCATCATCATTACTCCTAATTTTAATTGGATAAAAGTATATGTAACTTTAGATACCTACTCAGAATGGATTCACAGTCCCAAGTTTCTTTGGGTTCTTCAATAACCAATGTTACAAGCTCTTCTTTCTCATCTTCCTCATCTGGAGGAAGCTCTGAATCTTCTTTGATTTCAAGTTCATTAAGTTTCACACAGCTTAATGAAGAAAGAAGGTAAATAAACAAGAAGACATATGAACAGTTAATTTTCACTTTTATATTACTTTTAGAAAGCACTTTCAGCTTCCCAACCTTGGGTCCTCCCGTTGTTTAGGACTTCCAACTCCCAAAAATCCCAGCCAGTTTACCAGTTGTTAGGAATTGAGAGAGATGGAGTCCAAATCATTTGGAGGAACAAAGGTAGGGAACCACTGCTGCAGAAGGACTAAAATGTGCAAGCAGAAGCAGTTTTCATCACGGTTGTATTCGTCACCATTGAATACAACCCCTAAGTCTTGTACAGTATTACCCAATCCCACAAAAATAAACATTTCATTCTAATGTTAGAATCATATCTAGCTGCTACTTATTTTTCGCTAGCAATTTTTGACAAAACAGATCTATCTAATTCCTATATTTTTTGAAGTAAAGAAACAAGGAGCCATGTGTCTTGAATAATATGGACAATGTAACCATACTAATGATTTCTGGGGGAAAAACAATAATGTAAAATATATTGTAACATCTTATTTGAAAACTAAAATATTGGAAAGAAGCTGATGCCATTCCATAATTAATTCCAAGTGTGAGTTTCTAATCACCCCAGCTGCTCATTTTCAAAAGCTCCAAGAAAGATTTAACAAACCAATCTAGCACTACCTTAACTCTTGAGGCATCACAATTACATACATAAATTTCCAGGTTAATTCTGTTTCAACACTAGCATAAATCCCCACAACCTTCTTTTAAAGGAGGGGTGGGCATTTGTGGGTCTCCAAATTGATTCAGTTTACAATTTCCACTAGTTATCATTTCAAGGTGAAGGATTATGGAAGCTGCAGTACGGAAACATCTGGAGGGTCACATCAAATATTACAGGAGGTAAAAAGATGTAAAATACTTTGCAATAGGAAAATCAAGATGTCAATTGAACATCGTTTTAGTAGGAGGGCTTGTTTTTAGAAGAAAGATGACTATCATAGATACATCTCTTCTCAATTTTCTGTCAATTGCATACCATATTTCTTCAACTGTATGACACCACCAATTGTAAGAAGCACCCTAATTTCAATACCACCATGTACAATACATAAGATACACCTGCGGTTCTAAGACACACTCCATTTTTAGGAAAAAGTGTGTCTTACAACTGAAGAAATGCAGTACTTTGAATGACAATATCATAATTTCTATATGCACTACCTATCATAATTGGATTTTTATTAATACACTGGAAGATGAGTGAGTGTAAAGGCAAAGATGTTGAACTGAAAAGTGAATTAATGCCTCCTGAGAAGCTGTACACTTTATTTTTAAAAGGCAGAGCATTAAAATATTTTACATACTTTTTTGCCTTTTCTCTATAGTAGTCATTCAAGATTTCCTGTAACCGAGTACTGTCGCTTTGAATGAAACCTTCTAATTCAGCATTATCCAGTGCTCCAATTTCATCATCATCAAATTGTTCAAAGAACTAAAATGAAAAAAAAAAAGGTTTTCAGTTCTGGAACTGGTGAGGTAAATGTCATGAAAAATTTGAACCACAGTGAGGAATTTTGTTTTAAGAATACTTCTATTTCAATCCTCTAAATTACTTTTCTTTATATAACAAGCTAAATGATAACAGCTCATTAAGACAAGGAAAAAAATCAGGATAAGTCTTTATTACTAGGAAAACAACCATCACTCAGTATGACTGGCATCCTGTTGTCTAGTTCCAGGCTAATCCAATCAATCAATGACTGAATGGTGAATCAACACATCAATTCCATTTATTCAAGGGGTTTGCTATGGTCAGGAATAGTAAGAGGATATGGATCTAGGTGTGATAAGCAACTGACTATCAAATACACTGACAGAAAGGTCAATCTCCAGTTGACTTCCTACTTACATATGGGCCCCTCTTGGGTCTAGAATGCCTCAAGTGGTCCCAAAATATGGTACCTGAGCCATGCACAGGGATTTCCTATCCTGGTACAAATTAATTAGAGAACAAGATCAATGAATTCAAGCTAAAGAATATTTCCCAAGGATACCTTGGGTTAATAAAAATCATTACTACTATGCTACTAACCTTCTCAAATCGTTCATCCAGTAGAGTTAGTTGTTCATTTCTTCTTATTACGGAAGATGTCATGGAGTATTCTGTGAAACGGCTTTTTGTCTCTTCTTCCATGAAAAATAATTCTTTCATCTTTCCTCTGAGTTCACTGTCATCTGACAAAGGACCTTCAGAATCATACTCTTCATCGCCTTCGATGCTTTTTCCATCTTCCTCATCCTCCATGTCCTCCCATTCATCTTCATCTCCAGATTTATGCTCCCTGTATTTTTTTAAAAAACTTCCTGAAATGTACTGAAATCTTCCATACCACTACAATAAATGTTGCTATTTCATGGCCATTATTTAAGCTATTTAAAACAATGGAATTATTCTTCCACATTACATTACATTACCAAGAAGCTTCCTTTTCCTCATCTATATTCCCTGGATTGGTCGCCCTTAGAATGAAATCATCTTCAAGGAAATTGTCTGGATTTTGAAAATCAAAGTCATCATCCAGTGCTGCAACAATGTCAGGGTCAAAATCTAGCCTAGGCCCTACAGAAAAAAAAAAAACAATTATATGTTATATATGGAAACATTCATACCATAACAGTAAGCAATAACATACTTATAGCCAAAATCAGAAACTAACAAAGCCAAAATGATAGTTGGGCCTTAATAAAACAAAAGGAGTTACCCCATTTTGCTAATTTCACTTACAGAATTGTTTCCTATTGAAAGTGCTTAATACACTGCTTAGCACGAAATCTCTGGCTTAGTAGAAAATAAGGACATCAGCTAGTAATTGTCATGGTCTTGCAGCAAGCATCAGCACTCATTACTTATCCCTTGTTTTTTTTTTAAAATAAAGGGATCTAGGTAATGTTAACCTGAACGTTTTTTCACTTGGTCACATAAATGATAACATCAAAACAATTTTACAAGAAAAAAAACTGTCACAACATGCACACTAGTGAGCAAGCTTCACACGACAGTGAAACACCTGTATATACATACACAGAAGAAGACTGAACAGTATATATATGATACCTGAAACAGGAGCAGCTTTGTTTAGTAGTCCCACATCCTCCTCAAATTCTGATGCAAACACTGATGAGGGCAGGTTAATTGTGGGAGCCTAAAAACAAGCAAAAGAGAAGAAAACATTTTAAAAAGGAAAACAAAACTAAATAGTACCTGCCTAACTTGGTTTCTAGACAGATAGTTTGAAATATTTCCCTTTATTTTGAAATCTGAGAATAAATATCCCATCTGTTACACATTCCTAGAATACTTTAACAATTTCAACATTCCCTTAACACGCTTCATATTTGCAGAATCTCCACATGAGAAAAATAAAGAACTGAAAGTACCACCTTACCATAAGCACTCAAGTTTATACTTACAGGAATATGTTGAATTTCCTCTTCTACCTTCCCTTCTGTGGTCACTACAATCCTGCCTTGTAGATCTGGTCTGTTTGATGGTACAAGCTCAGAAGGCCCAGAAGCTTCTTTGAGATGTTGTAAGTAGTCATAGTCATCATCAAAGAATACTCCATATTTTCTCTGTTCTTCTCTTCTCTTCTCTTCATCGCCCTAGAGATTGGGGGGGGGGGGGGGGGGGGAGAGAGAGAGAGGAAACATTTTAAAGTTGTTAAAAAACAAGTATCTTGGGGAAAAATAAAAGCAGAATACAGTACCTCTTAACAGTGTTTGTGGTGAAATGAATTTCTTAAAGAAGAATTTCGCCGTATTACATCAAGAACAACGTAAGACTCCTGACAGAGCAGATCAAAATCTACGTAACCCAACTTGAGAATAGGCCCCATTGAATAAGATGTCAGCCAACATCCTGTCTGCTACAGTGGAGAATTGAATGCCTCTAGGAATAAAAAAGTGTCTCTACCATAGACAAAAAACACTGTCTTAGGTCAAAACTAACCTATTATCTAGCTGCAATAGCCTCTCGTCCTTTTCCTCACAACCAATCTTTTTCAGAGTCATCCTGTAAAGAAATAACAGTCTCGTTTTTTATGAATGTAAAAGATTTAGGGCAGTCAACTCCAATCCTACATACAACTGAAGCATTCCTCACTAAATTCAATGGGGCCTATTCTCATGTAAGCCATATAAGACTAGTCCTCCTTTTGGTAAAGAGACATGTCATAGAATCATAGAGTTGGAAGAGACCTTGTGGTTTTTTCAACAGCGGGCCATCCAGTCCAGCCCCCTGCCAAGAAGCAGGAAAATTGCATTCAAAGCACCCCTGACAGATGGCCATCCAGCCTCTGCTTAAAAGCCTCCAAAGAAGGAGCCTCCACCACACTGCTGCTCAACAGCTCTCACAGAAGTCCTTCCTAATGTTCAGGTGGAATCTCATTCCCTGTAGTTTGAAGCCATTGCTCTGAGTCCTAATCTCCAGCACAGCAGAAAACAAGTTTGTTCCCTCCTATCTATGACTTCCCTCTCACATATTTATACATGAGCATTATGTCTCATCTCAGCCTTCTCTTCTGTAGGCTAAACATGCCCATCTCTTTAAGCCTCTCCACATAGGTCTTGTTCTCCAGACCCTTGATCATATGACAGCAACATATAAAGTTATGAATCACATAGGCAAGAGAACAGAAGGTAGTCTCTTCCTCTCTCTGAACATGAGAATCTGGAGTCATCCATTGGAAGGTTCACACTTGCATTAAAAAAAACAAGCTATTTTCTTACAACATAATCTTTTTTAAAAATTACCTTTTGTGCAGGCAGCAGGACTCTCTGGGGTGCAGTGTCGTCTGCTGCCAAAGGGTCCCTCTGACTTCTGTGTACCACATGAAACGTGACAGCTTTTTTCTTCTCTATGAAGGGTTTTTTTCGCCTGTGGGGCTGTAAGGCAAGAAAGAATTACTTGAACCAGAGCATTTATGCAGTCATTATAAATAAAAAGATGGCTTGAAGACATGTGTGCATTAAAAATCTTTATATATATACCGGTAACTAGATTTGATTTTCACATCTTTAACATCTTTTAGAAACATCAAATCTAGTTACATATATTAAGATTTTTTTGTATGCTTACAAAAGTGATCCCATAAATGCCACACAGTTTTCTTAGACAAAGAATTTTCAGAGGTTGTTTTGGCTAAAATACATATATAGGCAGTCCCAAAGTTACAGATAAGATAGGTTGTGTAGGTCTGTTCTTAAGTTGAATTTATATGAAAGCCGGAACAGGTACATTTTTGAGTGGAAACAAGGATTGGTGATAAAGCTTTAGTGGAGATACCTTTTCCCCATGATAACTCTTCCAAGAGTGAAATTCCCCTCCTAGGGGTAGATTTCTCTGAATTCTTATTGTCTCACCCCTATTCTTAAGAATGAGTTCTTTGTAAGTCAGATGTTTGTAACTCGGGGACTGCCTGTACTTCATCAATCAACATCTAGAAAATCATCATACAACTTGTAGGTCTGTACAAGCAATTTCTGGCAAGGTATCTTAAATATCCCACAAGCTACGTCTTCAAAAAGTTCTGTTTTAACATGTTATGGAATACCAAACTGATTCTGTGCAGTGATAAATGTCAGCGTGTTTCAGCCTTCATAGAATGGTAAAATTGAAATTAAAATTGAAGTTTGAATATCAGATCTTTTTTTAAAAAAAACAACAGAATTTTCAAGCTGTGATTGGCCAAGGTAGCGGACCCTCTTTGGTGTGGTCCTAAGGGTCTCTCTTACTGGAGAGACCCTACTAAAGTCCGTATTGACTTCATGTGCAGTGCGCATAGGAATTCATTCATGGATTTTCAAATTACAATCTGGCCTTCCAACAGTTTGAGGGACTGTAACCTGGCCCTCTGTCTAAAAGGTTTGAGGACCCCTGTTCTAGACTGTAGAATGGAGCTGGCATCACTTTCAGAGCCATGACTCAATGTTATGGAATCCTGAGGTCTGTAGTATGATAAGGCACCAGGACTCTTTGGAGTTCAACTGTGTAAAACTACAACTCCTAGAAATCCACAGCACTGAGACATAGCAGTCTAAAACGGCGTCAGACTGCATTCAGTCTACAGCAGTGGTTCTCAACCTGTGGGTCCCCAGGTGTTTTGATCTACAACTCTCAGAAATCCTAGCCACTTTACCAGCTGTTGGGATTTCTGGGAGTTGAAAGCCAAAACATCTGGGGACCCACAGGTTGAGAACCACTGGTCTAAAGGCAGAGAAAGAAACTGTAGCATAAGCTAGATGAACCTTCAAAGACCTGAAAGACTGACTCTCTCAGGACTCATCCACACAGCTGAATAAAATCACACATTATCTGCTTTGAACTGGGATATATAACCCAGTTAAAAGCAGATACTGTGGGACTTTCTGTCTTGATATTCTGGGCTATAGGGCTGTGTGGAAGGGCCCTCAGATGCTTCTAACTAGCTATGGTGCTACAAAATCCCTCTGCACACTAGTATTCCAGACTAACTTCCCTCTGAGGAGCTGCAAACGTTTGGACTACAGGTCTCCCCAGAGGGTTGGGAGTTATAGTTCGAAAACTCTCTTTTGAAAGGGGAGAGGGTGGCCTGGACCTCCCAGCCAAAGAACGCACGCACGCACGCGCCCCCTCCTCCTGCCTCGACGTCAGTTACCATGGCGACCAGGAGAACAAGAGCCGCACGGCCCTCACGCGCCCAACTTCCTCAGGGATGCCGCGAGCCTGACTTCCTCCTTCGACCAACCTGCGGCTTCACGCATTTCCGGGAGAAAGAAGATTAACGCCCCCTAACTTCCGGTAGGTTGTTTCTTTTGTGCCGCCATCTTGGGAGAAACCAATCTTGGGGGCGGGAGGCAACTGGAAAGTCATGCTTACAACGCTTCTAACAGCGCCGATAAATAGTTTTTTTTTACTTAATTCAAGTCTGAGTGAGTTAAGAAAAGATTCTCTTCCGCAAAGGTAAAGGCTGTCCTGAAAAAGAAAACTCGCAAGGGTGGTTTATTCCACTCAGGAAGAGGTGTCTGAATTTCCGGTGAAACCGGATGTGAGTTTTTATGGGTTTCTGTGTGAGACGCGTGGACTTCAACTCCTAGAAGCACTATCCGGCTTAGAGAACAGCCAGGAATTCTGGGAGCCGAAGTCCAGGAGTGTCGCGCTCTCCCGTAGCTTCACAGGCACGAAATACCAAAGAGATGTCGGGCATCCGCCGGAAGGGAAAATACTAACCCTGGCGTTGGCCGACTCTATGGCTTTCGAGGAAGTCGAGCCTACTTCCAGCCTACTACCTCCTATACAGCACCAAGGGGCAGTCATCGCGTGCCAAGCTTCCAGATTTATTTACTTCGTATCAAAAGCATTGCATAAAATAGTATAAAACCGAAAAAAATAGGAGCTAAATATATTTTGACCAAAAACGGGCAACAGCAATGGCATTGACTGTAGCATCCAACAATTCTTCCTCTGTACATATAGATGCCGAGCTGTCTGTTGTCTGTTCTGCTCCACAGTCACATACAGTGTGGGATTCTTTTAGGTAGTGCCATTTTGCCAGGTTGTCTTTTGATCTGCCCACTCCACTTCTGAGTCTATTCAGGAACTTCCAAGTTGCCCATTCTTGGTTTGCCCCTGGAGGAAGACCCTTGCAGGGGGCCATCCAGTTGGGATTTCCTGGTTTAGCTGCCCAGAGGGATATTATTGCTGTTGCTGGGGGAACATTAAGAGGAGTGGTAGTTCTCATAAAGCTTTTCCTTGATTTGAGTCTACTGGGAGGAGGTTAGTAGCCATGTAGTGGGTGGCTTTCACAGTGTTCAACCTTATTTCTCTCACATTTATTAGCAACTTCCCGTCACACATCGGGGAGGGGGGGCGGAATGCCAGCTAGCCTGTACAGTTTATCAACAGGTGTAGGTTTAAGACATCCTGTGTTTATTCTGCATGCTTCATTCACCTGCTTTGCATGGGCAGACGTATGCCAAACAGGGCAGGCATACTCGGCAGATAAGATATTCCCACTATTCTACTGTGTTCCCACTATTCTACTGTGCTTGAATTGGAAGTTTGGGGGGGGGGGGGTCTAGAAGACGCATGAGCAAGCATGGATAACCTCCAGCCAAGCTTAAGCGGCTGAGGGGGAAAAGGAAGGGGCCTGAGGCTATTGGGAATTAGGGGAGCTAAAGTCCAAAATACCTGGAGGGAGGGCCGAAGTTTGCCCATGCCTGCTCTAGAATTAATTGCTATGGCATCCCTGGAGTTCTACAAGGTCATTGGCCTCCTCCAGAGAGTGCTGGTTCCACACTACAGTTCCCAGGACCCTCTAGCATTGAGCCACGGCAATTGGAGTGGTCTTCAACAGCATTAGTTTATTTATTTATTTATTTATTATATGTTTATTCATTTGATTTATATACTGCTTTTTTCTACCCCGGGGGGACCCAAAGCGGTTCACAACAAAGTGAATGGCAAAATTCAGTGCCTCACAAAGTATAAAGCATAACACATACCGTATCTAAAATTGCATATAATAATAGATTAAAATCAGTGAACTATAAAACATCAAACATAAACAACATAACATAAAACATTGGACATTGCACCAATCCCAACGTTATCTTGGCTGCTTCATCTCTCTCTCTCTCTCTCTCTCTCTCTCTAAATGCTTGCTTTAAAAGCCACATTTTGAGTAATTTCTTGAATGTCAGCAGGGAAGGGGCTGATCTGATCTCACTGAGGAGGGAGTTCCACAGATGAGGCGCCACCACCAAGAAGGCCCTGTCTGTTGTCCCCACCAGTTGCACCTGCGAAAGTGGTGGGACTGAGAGCAGTTCCTCCCCAACAGATCTTAATGTTTAACTGGCTCATAGAGGGAGATGTGTTTGGATAGCCACGCTGGGCTGGAATCGTTCAGGGCAGTGGTTCTCAACCTGTGGGTCCCCAGGTGTTTTGGCTTACAACTCAAAAATCCCAGCCAGTTTACCAGCTGTTAGGATTTCTGGGAGTCGAAGGCCAAAACATCTGGGGACCCACAGGTTGAGAACTACTGGTTTAGGGATTTAGGCCAGGACTTCGAATTGTGCTTGGTAGCAAACCAGCAGTCAGTGGAGCTGATTTAACAGAGGGATTGTATGCTCCCTGTGAGTCGCTCCAGTTAGAAACCAGGTTGCCGCCCATTGGACTACTTGAAGCTTCCAAATAGTCTTCAAAGGCAACCTCACATAGAGAGCACTTCAGTAATTTATTTGAGATGTAACAAGAGTGTGGACCACTGTGGGCAAGTCTAGTTTGGCAATGTAGAGGCACCCATGTATGTACCAATGATTGGCTATCTATATCTTGATGCTGAAAGAAGGCAATGGACTTGCTCACCATGGCTCATGAGCTTGTTCTAAGGCATAGTATGAAACTTTGGTGGCCTACTAGGTCCCTTTGGACTTCTTATTTGTGCATGAGTCCTAGCATTTAATGGAAGGTAGACCATATGTGTGTGTATCTGTTTACTTTTCTGTTTCTATCACAAAAGCTTTTGCTAGGTGGCGGATTGGTCTTCTGTTATGTCATTGGATTGGCTTCTCCTAGGTGAAGTGGCCCTCTGTGATGTCACTGGGAAAGAAAGGTCAGTGTGTATGAGGAGACCCATGTTGCAATGGAGACTATGTCAAATAGGCGAAGTGGCCCTCTGTGATGTCACTGGGAAAGAAAGGTGATGGTTGTGTATGAAGGGAAGAGAGCCACAAGGAAAGGGGAAAAGGTATGAAGGGTGGGGAGTGGAGGGGAGGAAAGAAAGAGAAAGAAGGGAGGAAAGCAAGGTATCAGTAGCCCCTCCAAGGCTCGGACAACGCTGAATACATACACTAGTGCAGGCATAGCCAAACTTTTTTGCCTAAGGGCTGCATTGTGTGCCTGACTAAGAGGGACAGGCCAGGGGAAAAGGGCAGATGGAAAGTGCTGGGTGGGACCCGTGAGAGTGGGGCTGGGAGGGGGTGGGGCAAGGGGTGGGTCACTCTTAGGTTGTCCTTCTGGCATAAAGATGAGACTGTTTGTCCCATTGTGATGAATTCCCTACCTCTTAGGCTAGGAAAAGCCTAGGACAGTAGGCTCAGGAAGTTCAGCAGCCATTTTTGAAAGGATGCCAGGGGAATCCATTTTAGATACTAATTTCCTGAAGGGGGCGTATTTAGAAACAGCTTGGAGGGAAATGAGGGGAGTTAGAGATTGGCTGAGAGAGAGTGGTGGAGCTTAACTTTAAAAAAAGGGAAAAATGACTTTAAAGGTGTGTTTTAAAACCCTGTCAGCTTAGATTGAATCTTGATGTCAAAGGAGAAAGATTTAGGAGTGGAGAAGAGAATAGAATAGTGAGAGAGGCCTGAAGTTGGTCAGTTAGCTAGCAGAGGTAATGGAAGGTTGCTTACCTGTAACCGTGGTTTCCTGAGTAGTCACCTGTGAATTCGCACAATGTGGTATTCCTGCGCCCGCGCAGGCCAGCTTCGGAACCTTCTAGAAAGTTTTAAAGAATTGTATCCCCCTCTGGGCTCCACCTCCCCCTCCTCGAGTATATAAAGCCCCTGGGTGGAGCCAGCCTTCCATCCTCTTCCGCCGCAAGGCAACCAGAAGGGAGTGGCATGAGTACTCGAGGGGAGGAAGGGTGGGTTTGTGCGAATTCACAGGTGACTACTCAGGAAACCACGGTTACAGGTAAGCAACCTTCCATTTCCTGTCGTAGTCAACTGTGAATCGCACAATGTGGTAGACTAGCGAGCTACATCACGGCTGGTGGGACCATGCCACTGCCGAAAACAACACCGCTCTACCAAAACTTGCCTCCCTTCTCGACACACAGTCCAACTTGTAGTGGGAAACGAAGGTGGAAGGAGAGGCCCATATTGCAGCCCTACAAATCGTCTCTAGTGGGATACCCTTCATGAACGCTGTAGAGGCTGCCATAGCTCTCGTAGAATGTCCCTTAATCTGAAGGGGTAATTCCTTGCCTGCCAACCTATAAGAGGTACGAATGGCAGAGACAATCCATGCAGATAGACGCTGAGAGGAAACTGGAAGGCCTCTAGCGTCCTTTCGATATTTGACAAACAATCTAGGAGATTGTCTAAAACCTGCAGTCCTCTGCATATAGAAAGCTAACGCTCTCCTCACATCTAGAGAATGTAGACGAATTTTGGATTGTGATTTTAGTTACGAGATGCATGGGATTATTATTGGTGGCCCAATAATTTGTATTGTATATGTGTTTTATGTTTTAAATTGAATACTGTTTTTAATTGTTGTAAACCGCAATGAGTCGCCGACTTAGGCTGAGATATTAGCGGTATACAAGTGTATAAATAAATAAATAAATAAATAAATAGACCCCTCTCCAAAGGGGTCTCTGGATTTTGAAAGAACGCAGGCAAAATAATCTACTGAGGCATATGAAACCTCGTAGCTATCTTAGGCAAAAAGGCTATGTCCGTACGAAGTACAACCTTATCTTTGTGGAACTTGAGATAAGGCAGATCAACTCTGAGCGCACAGAGTTCACTGGCCCTTCTAGCAGATGTAATAGCTACTAGGAAGACCACTTTCCAAGTCAAAGGGCCCAATTCAGCTGTAGCCATTGGTTCAAAGGGAGGTTTCATAAGAGCCGACAGAACCAGCTCTAGGTTCCAGGAGGGGGCGATTGGAGCTACCTGGGGTCTGATATTCCCCAAGCCTCTCAAAAAACACTTGACCAATGGATCTGTAAAACAAGATGGTAAGCCCACCTTCCTTCTGAACCATGAAATGG